AAATCCTTATACTTTTGACAAATCTGGGCCAAATCTCCTGATTGCTTTTTAAATTTCTTTAAAGTTAAAGGGAATTATATTTTTTCCTATATATTTTTAACAGCTGAAATTCTTGAAATGTTGTGAGTTTAAAAATTCTGTAGTACACTTTATAGAATACCTAGAGAGAAGGAACTGCTAAGGGACAAGATGAGTAGCAACAATGCATACAGCAAGAGGACTTGCTCCTGATAAACCACAGATAATGAATAAGGACAAATGAATCATTTAGGCAGGATAGAGTCCAGTTTCCTGGTTTTAAACTGTTAAGAGTTATAATTAGCATAATATGACCCAATGAAGGCCCATTAGTTCTTAATGAAATATAGGTGAGATGCTTATATAAATTTGTGAGCTCTGACATAAGAAATTAGTAAAAATAAAAAAGCTAAAGGACAGATTTCGTAGAAGAAGTCAAATGTAGAACTAGACAGGGAAGACAGGACAAACTTGGGGATACTAAAATTGAGAAAAGCACTATGAATAACTGAAGAAAATTTAGTCACTTTTCAATTTCACTGATGACTGAATTTTCTGAAAAACTTGGGTTCTTATGCGTTATATGAAAGTTCTCTGATCAAAATAGTTATTTTCTAAAAATTACATATTTTGGATCAGTACATTTTAAGCTACACATTAGAGAAATGTTTGTGATTCAGTGAAAAGTAGGGTTAAGTTACTTCATTCTTTCCTAGACATTTCAATAAAGTTGCTTTATCTCAGCAAGCTCATGAATGAGCTAACCACATACTTAATGTCACCAATATACTGGAAATTCAGGAAGCAACTCTTCTTTGAAAGAAAAAGCAGCTGTTTTTTGAAAGAAAAAGAAGGAAGAAAAGTAACAAGGAAGAAAGAGAAAGAGGAAATGGATACAAGTTCACTCAAATATTCAACAACAAATGTTCAACTGTTGCTGAACTTCAAATCAAAGAACCAAATCAGCAGAGGACATTTCACAACAGGGAGATTGTATCAGCTAACATATATTTACTGTAAATTTGTAGGTCAATTAAATACTGTGATTTCCATAGATTTGATCCCCAGTGCTTAGTTTTATGACACTCCCATCCCTAAGTCACTGGCTTTTTCTAATAGAGAAAATTTTTTCTTCTCCGAAGATAATCACAATTGGAATAAGAATCCTTTAAGGGCAATCACAATGTCTGACTTACTCAAGATTAAAGAGCTGACATGTGAGGACTACCTGACAGGCACAGATAGCAGGGTTGCAGGTGGTGGTGTATGTAAGTTCCTGGTTAGTTGGATAGGGTGATTGTTATTGGAGAAGCTGGCAATTAAATTATGGGGGGGAACTTGGAATTCATGAGACTTACTCCTCAATTATTATTGAGACCTGGTTTTACTCTTACCGAATGCCTGAAGAATATTGTCCATTTTTCATAACATTTTCATTCATCACTCACCAATTTTTCTTCTCCAGTGATTCCAGTCGCATTCCCTTAAGCTGAGGGTTCTGTGATGGCTGTACTTTCTGTCTGCACTCTGTGTAACAGCATCCAGCTAATGTCATAAATTTTACTCCATTCGGTGCTGGGATATGTGCCAATATAATATACTGTGGACATTTTGCATATGACTTTTTACACTTTTCATTTATCTCTAATACGGACACTCTTATTCTTCTTCTGGAACTCTGTCTGAGACCATTTTTGTGTGCTCATCCTCCAGTAAAACTCAAAGTGGCATTCGAAAGGTCTGTGGCATTCGAAACACGGGATAAATTTATTGAGCTCAAATTGGATAAAAAAGTTGCTAGCCACCAATTTAATGTTCCTTTATGAATGTGTGGAGAAGTAGGAGGAGTTATGAGCATGAAATGAGGGATTTCCTAGTTGATAGCCAAAACCACAGGGGACCCAGCAAATTTTAAGTCAGCCCTCTTGGGTTCATTGGCACCTAATATCCCCGTAATTATTTCTACACTTGCAGAAATCTCCTTTCTCTCTTCTTCTCTTTTCCCTCAGGCTAAATGCAGAATAATTGATATGCATTTTTTTTTTTTACAAGCTACGTTCCTTTTCTGCCATTTCTATTTGTAAAATTCTAAAGCCCATTTAAATGCAAACATTTTTCTATGCCAATTCCATTCTATTTAAATAAATATCTTGGTGGCACTTTCACTGAGGCAAGGTTTTTCTCTTTTTTTTCAGAAAAGAAAAATCTGTATTCATAACTACTTTTTATCACACAATTTCCTCCTCAGTCTTCTTCAGTCTCATTCTTCCCATTTTATTTTATTGAAGTTTTTTTTAATCTTTTAGTAAATTATGTAACATTCTTATAGTGACAAATTATAATGGACATTTCTAAGTCCTACAAATTTAAAGCTGGAAGCAGCTTGTTGAACATTTGAGTTAACTTGTATCCATTTTCTCTTTTCTCTCTTTCTTCCTTCTTTCCTTCCTTCTTTTTCTTTCAAAAAACAGTCATTATATTCCTACTGTATATGAGGGAGATAATGTTATATAGTCTGAATGAAATGAAAAAAATTATAAATAGTCTTACCTTTACATTATTAGTAAAATGGGATTATGCATTAAAATTTCATTTATCACATAAGTATCTGATAAATTCTAAGCAAGACTTATGCATATGACACTATTCTCCTTGACATTTTACACCTGGTTTCTAGGCTTTCTTGAATGTAGCTAAGAGACACTTGATATAATGTTTAGACATTGGCAAATTTAGGAAGCATACTAATGGTGGAGAATATTTATAGTGAATTTCCAGGAGAATAAGGAATACAGATGAAAAGGCAAGGAACCCTATGTGCTTTTTCCAGAATTTCCTCTGTGAAGAAGCATAAAACAACGGTACTGCTGCATGTTGGATGAAATTTATTTAGAGAGCATATAGGAGCTAATCTAATATTCAGGTTATTCTTTTGTCACTAAGAAACAATTTAGACTAGTATACCATTTGGTTTCTTCCTCTTCTCTTATACTGATTTTATTTAAACTTGGGGGCTCTCCAAAATTCTATCCTGGGTCATTTCATTCTAAAAGTATTCATATGTGCTAGTGATTCCATCTACTCCAAATAATTTAGTTATCACTTTCATGTGCTAACTCCTATAGCAATATTTCCATCCCAGATTTTCTCCCTATGTTCCAAGTACGTAGGAACAGCATGTACTGTCCAAATTTTAGTTCATATGTCAATCCTTTGAAACACTGTCAGTGAGTTCTACACTTAATTCAAGGGTTTTTTTTTTTCATTTTACTTGTAAATATTGGAAGACTTTTACATATGAATCAATACCTATCTCTAGATTTTTTTAGCTAGTCTACCGAATATTTTTTAAATTTATTTTTATTAAGGTAAAATATACATATGTAATTGACCATCTTTACTTTTTTTTTCCTTGAGGCAGAGTCTCACTCTGTCATCCAGGCTGGAGTACAGTGGTACGATCTTGGCTCACTGCAACCTCCGCCCTCCAGGTTCAAGCGATTCTCCTGCCCAAGCCTCCCGAGTAGCTGGGATTACAGGCGCCTTCCACCACGCCTGGCTAAGTTTTTGTATTTTTAGTAGAAACAGGGTTTCACCATGTTGGTCAGGCTGGTCTCAAACTACTGACCTCATAATCCACCTGCCTTGGCCTCCCAAAGTGCTGAGATTACAGGCATGGGCCACCATGCCCAGCCCATCTTTACCATTTGTAAGTGTACAGTTCAGTGGTAATACATACATACATAGATATACAAATTTATATATATACACATACATATACACATTTATATATATATATACACACACACACACACACATACACACATATGCACACACACACACAGAGAAAGAGAGAGAGAGAGAGGGGGAGTTTTTTTTTTTTCCGCTTCATTTCTCCTTCTTCTCTTCCTTCCAGCCTCTGGTAACTACCAGTCTACTCTTTGTCTTCATAAGCTCCACGTTTTCAGCTTCCACACATGAGTCAGAAAATGTGATATTTTTCTTTCTGTGCTTGGCTTATTTCACTTAACATAATTGCTTTCAGTACCATTTGTGTTACTGTAATTGATAATATTTCATTCTTTTTATGGTTGAATAATATTCCATTTTGTGTGAGTGTGTGTATATATATTTTTTTCTTTATCCATTTATCTGTTGACAAATACGTAGGTTGATTTCAAATCATGGCATTTGTGAATAGTGCTATAATAAACATGGGAGTACTGGTATATCTTCGATATACTAATTTCCTCTTTTACCTAGGAGTGATATTGCTGGATCATGTGTTAGTCCTACTTTAAATTTTTGAGAAATCTCCATACTGTCCTTCATAATTGCTGTACCAATTTATATTCCCATATGTGTTAATTTAATATTGGTTATTATTTGCTTTAATTCACTATTATGCACTCATTGAAAACATATGTATTATGTGTCTATTCCATACAATAGACTTTGTGAGATGTCAGTGAGTTGGAAAATATTTTAAGGATAACATTTTAACTTAAGTAATAGATGTTGACATAAATAACTATAATATTATGGCTTCATGTTATTGGTTCAAGTCTCTGCAGAGGACAGTGGGAGTGTTGTACATTTCATCAGAATTTCAGACTGACTGTAAAAAGCGCGGTGACTGACCTGAAACCCCACTTCTTAGCTCTATGTAGGAAAAGTCAATCTGGATTAAACCCTAAAATATACTTCTCTGTTCTCAATTATCTTTATGTATTTTTAAGTTAAAATTCCTGAAAATAGTATGTCTGAAAAAAATTGAGAATTTCATTATTTTAAAGTATTTTTTTTCAATATCTTTGATCTTTGAGTGCCTTAGCAAAATGCAGTGGGCATTTTGATAGACACCATCCTTTTAAGTGTGTTTGAGGATTTCTATGGATTGTATTTATTTCCATTCCCTAAAAAAGACTTTTAAATTTTAACAGCATACACTAATAGGAGAGAAAAGCAAAATCACTCGATCTTTAATTTGTTTGGTCTTCACCCCATAAATGATGGGGTTTAGCATAGGGGGGCACCAACACATAGAGATTGGCCACTAGAATGTGAATGTGGTGAGGGATGGTTTTACCTCCAAAGCGATGGGCAAGAAATGAAAAGAATGCTGGGGCATAGAACATAAGTGTGACACAGATGTGAGAGCCACACGTACTAAGGGTCTTGAACCTGGCAGCCCAGGAAGATATCTGAAACACTGCGTAAAGGATCATTACATAGGATATAATGATAAGCACTATATCCAGTCCTGTAGAGAGTAGGGCCACAGTGAGGCCATAAATGATGTTGACATTGATACTGCCATATGCCAATCTGGCAATGCCCATGTGCTCACAGTAGGAATGAGGAATGATGTTTCTCCCACAATATGTAAGTTGGTATACCAGGAAGACGAACGGACAGCAGATGAAAAAGCTCCTGACCACAGTTGCTATGCCAATCTTCCTGATGGTTGATGAGGTTAAAATGGTGGTGTATCTCAGTGGGTAACAGATGGCCACATAGAGGTCAAATGCCATTGCCAGGAGAATAGGAGATTCTGCCACAAAGATGAAATGTATGAAGAACATCTGAGACACAGAGCTACCAAAGGATATATCCGTAGAGTGGAACCAGAGGATAGCCAGCATCTTAGGGGCTGCAGCGGTGGAGAGCAGGAAGTCTGCTGAGGCCAGCATGGATAGGAAGAGATACATGGGCTCATGGAGACTGTGCTCAGTCATGATCAGGAAGATCAAGAGGATATTGCCTGCAACAGCCACAGTGTACACAAAAGAAAAAGGGATGGAGATCCAGGTATGCAAGCCTTCCAGCCCTGGGATTTCCATTAGGACATACCACACATCTTGGGGATTAGTGTGATTATGAAAGAAAGGAGCCATGTGTACAGTTTATTCCAGGCCTAGTGCCATTAATGAAAGACCACAAGGTTGAGGATATAGAAGCACCACCTTAGGCTGAATGAGGTCTGATCAGATTTTTTTTCTTTTCAATGTTTTCTTCTCTGGGAATGGAGAGTAAAATGGCTTAATAAACCTAATATTTAAGTCCTACCAAATAATTTTTTATACCTTAAAAAATGAATAGATATTATTTAATAACTGCTTAATATGTGTTATACTACCTTACAAATATTAACTTATTAAATCTTCACAATAACCTATTGAAAACCCCTTTAAATTACCTTTATATAAATACTATTATTTCTACAGATGTAAAAATACCCACAGACTTTCAGCCTCTTACCCTAGGCCCTATTGGATTTAAAGTAAGGCAGGGTAAATCTGAAAACTTTGATCTTTACTACCATCCAATGCTGCCTATCAAGATAAAACTAGATACAAAACACAGCATCAAATTTTTTATCATATCCCTAAGGAAAATAGAGAGTTATGAAATGGAGTTGTACTGCTTACAGAAATGGGAGGGAATAAGTCTGACAAAATAGATTTCAAGCAATATAGCTTATATACCTTCTTCTACATTTATTGGCGTTAACTTATTGTTAAGCCGTATGCTAGCCATTGAAGACACACAGCCAATTAAATTGTTCTGCCAATTAATCTATTCCTCAAAAATATAAGATAAGACATTATAAACTTTAGCTATTTGCAATGCCAAACTGAGCTGGGTTTTTAAATGTATATGCCTGCTGGGCGCGGTGGTTCATGCCTGTAATCCCAGCACTTTGGGAGGCCGAGGCAGGGAGATCACAAGGTCAGGAGTTCGAGACCAGCTTGACCAAAACAGTGAAACCCTGTCTCTACTAAAAATACAAAAATTAGCCTGGTGTAGTGGCGTGCACTTTTAATCCCAGCTACTCAGGAGGCTGAGGCAGGAGAATTGCTTGAACCTGGGAGGTGGAGGTTTCAGTGAGCAGAGATTACACAACTGCACTCCAGCCTGCACTCCACAGAGCAAGATTCCCTCTCAAAAAAAAAAAAACAAAAAACTGTATATGCCTCATAGATGATAAAGAATAAAATATTTCATTTCTTCCCACTTCAGTCACTGATTGATAATGAGACAATACATGTTGTATTTCTAAGTACCACCACAGCAGCAAGTAATTTAATGTTTTCATATTATGAAACAGGAGTCTATATTACTTTAATAAATTACTAGTTATTACCAATTACTAGTTCCAAAAAATGTGGATAGAAGCAAATGTAATATTGGATGAAAAGGAAGATTAGAAGATAAAACACCAGGGTAGGTGACATATACACAGAAAAATTAGATAGGTAGATAGATAGATTAAAGGAGACAGATTAGATAGATAGATACATAGATACATAGATACATAGATAGATGCATGGGTATAAACATAGATGATAATATGCAAATGACAGGTGGCTTCTATACTCTATCAGTCCCCTTTCTCAAATAAAAGCTGGCTAAATTTCTTGTTTCTTTGAGGTGGCACAGGGGCTTAAGAAATGACTGCTCCTCCATCTCTTGATTCCATTACAGTTCAATATACTAATCATTGTATAGCATAGTCTACTACCTTTACTTTTGTTTTTTGTTAAGTGCTGAATATTCTGGTCAGCATGTGACCATTTTTGTTAAGTGCTGAATATCTCTTTTTGAAAATGACTCACTTAATACAAGGACACAAAAAATACTACAATTGCAAGTCAACTCCAGCTAAAGCCAAGTCCAGTACTCCATGGGTCAAAAATCAAGGAAAATGTGAGATGGTTAAGTTGTTGGAAGAATGATCAGCTTCTGCAGCTTTTGACTTTTTTTTTTCTGGTGTCATTTTCTACATGTTTTCATTGATCTTAACTCAGTTTACTTACTTGTATTTTCTAGAATCCTGAAGATATTTAGCAGGTTGAGAGGAGACAAAATAAAAGCAAAGAGATATCCAAACACGGTAGGAAACCTGGAACCATTTATACTTCTTTCAAAGCATCTCTTGGGCCAAGGTTTTCAGCTCCAGAGGACTGAATTTTACTCCTCCCACGGAAGGAGACGACACGGAGCTGATTCTGGTACATAGCCCACAGGGAGAAGCATACTGCATTCTGTTCCATTATAATTTGGGCATTTTTTTCTTCAGCCAGCACTCTCTGACACCTAAGTTAACACATACATCTACTTGTCCAGATCTTTCGTCTCTGTCATATATGGTTCCCAATGAACCATTAGCAAATATAGGTTGCCAAAGAGACATGTGGGAAAAGGACTTTACACATCTTAGATGGCGCCTAAAAGTTAATTCTCTCATTTTATTTCCCTTTAATTTTTAAGGCTCTATTGCTTTCCCTGTTTTTTCTTGGTCACATGGTAAATGGGTCAGAATCAGAAGGGCCAGTAAATTATATTGGCTACTGTAGAGATCCCATTCCCTTGAAGTATACTTTAATGAGGAATACAGATGAAGATAAAAAGATAGAAACAAATACCATGATATTTGTGGAATTAAAAACTGGTTTCACACAGATAAACCAGATTTATGGAGAGAGATGTTTTCTTATTAACTTCTCTCAAGTGGAGCCTTCCAAATATCTGTGATTTTCTGATATTTTTCAAGGAACCCCTAAAAGTTTTTTTTAACCTACATTAGTAAAACTTAGTTAAAAAAAAAAAAGATAGTAAAACATCCCTATAAATATGATGTTTGACATCATCTGACCCTGACTGGATGATCTTGACTGGATGCTAGGCAAGTTCCCAGGTCCTCCAGTTGGTCATCTAGACATCTTAGTTCTCACTGGCTGAGAGAGGTCATGTTTTGTTACATAAGCATGAGTGTTATATGGAAGGAGACATAAGAATTACCACATGCATTTAAAGTGCTTTCCATTCAAAGGTCTTAAAACCATAGTGAGAGTAAATTGGACGGCTTCGTCTTGCTTTTTCAGATATTAAAAAAAAAAAAAAAAAAAAAGGATAGTACTGGCTGGGCGCCGTGGCTCATGTTTGTAATCCCAGCACTTTGGGAGGCCAAGGCGGGTGGATCACGAGGTCAGGAGATCGAGACCATCCTGGCTAACACAGTGAAACCCTGTCTCTTCTAAAAATACATAAAATTAGCCAGGTGTGGTGGTGGCCACCTGTAGTCCCAGCTACTTGGGAGCCTGAGGCAGGAGAATGGTGTGAACCCAAGAGGCAGAGCTTGCAGTGAGCCGAGATTGTGCCACTGCACTCCAGCCTGGACGACAGAAGGAGACTCCATCTCAAAAAAAAAAAAAAAAAAAAAAAAGGATAGTACTTATCTTCCCTCCTATCCTTGGAAAACAAATTAAAAGAATCAAAGGATATTAGAGAAAAAGAGATGGATAAAGCACAAGGAGAATTTAGGGGACAATAGGAATTGGTGTCTGCATCTGACTGCCTGGTAGTGACCAGAAACAAAGAATGGAATCCACAAGGTCTACTGATAACTTATTATAATATTTTTAAATTTGGATACTCTAAAGTTTTAAGAATTTTTTTTTTGAGCAAACGTTTTCAGTAAATAATGATTTCTGATACATATAATAAGCAAGAGGTCAGGGATCCAAACTACTACTACTGTCATACAAGTACCACATTACTACTTTAAAACACACCTCCAGCAATATTCTATGCAGATGAAATAATCGTTATCCATAACCTTTAATGTGCTTAGTTTTTTTGTTTGTTTGTTTGTTTGTTTTTTACTTTTTTGAGATGGAGTCTCGCTCAGTCACCCAGGCTGGAGTGCAGTGGCACGATCTCAGCACAGTAGTACCCCACTCTTAGTACCAATTTTCTGTATTTTCCATTCTCATATTGCTATAAGGAAATACCTGAGACTCACTGCAAGCTGCGCCTCCCAGGTTCACGCCATTCTCCTGCCTCAGCCTCCCAAGTAGCTGGGACTACAGGTGCCCGCCACCACACCTGGCTAATTTTTTGTATTTTTAGAAGAGTTGGGGTTTCACTGTGTTAGCCAGGATGGTCTCAATCTCCTGACCTCGTGATCCGCCCACTTCGGCCTCCCAAAGTGCTGGGATTACAGGTGTGAGCCACCGGGCTTGACCTAATATGCTTAGTTTTCTTATAGAGTTTGACAGTCTTTGAGCCACATGCTTTAGAAAAATAATTTTCCAGTTTTTATAAAAGTTACCTAATCATGTTCTTGATATCAAATAACAATATCATTGGAGTCTTGGTATGCCCTTAATAATCATATATCTATATGATTATCTAATATACCTAGGTATTTTTGCAGGGAACATGTATTATGTACAATAAATAAAGATTTTAAAAATTTTCACATAAGTTCATGTGAGAAATTGCCATCACTTTAGAACAGATTGTGCTCTTAAAAGATTCAGTTTTTAAATTTCTATGGATTTCAAGAAAATGGATAAATGATTGTGGCCCTGTTAACCAAAATAGCAGTAAAAAATGGCTTTGGCTACCGATTTAATTTCTGTAAATTAAGGATGTTGGTTGCTTGAGATTTTAGCTCTAACTCTGCTTCAATATGTAAGATACTTCTAATTGAGTCTAGATAATTGTTCTACAGGTAAATGAGTGTCCTGGATGCTAGTGCTTCAACCAAAAAATGAAAAAGATACAATTAAATGAAAGCTTTCATCTTACCATAGGACGTGAGTGGAGGAAATCCAAGAGAAGAATTCCAGATGGTCCTTTCTTTGAACAAGTAATCTGGCATAATTAGACGCCTGGTTTCTTCTCATTTGTGAGTTAGTAAAGCTGAGAGTTGGTGCCAGAAAACAGAGCAGAAATATTAATTTATTTCTTCCTTGTTTGTAGGCTATAGAGAAAGCATGTCCAACCTGTGGCCCGGGGTTTGAATGCTGTCCAACACAACTTTCTTAAAACA